ACAATGATAGTTCTATTCAATATACTTGATTAGTAACGATATTTTAGAAAAGATAACACCTGTTTAGAACAAATAACTAACTCAACTTAATTTTTTAATCTCTTCAAATTAGTCAACTGGCTTTTATAATTAGGACTGGAGGTAGTAGAATTGTTTTTAATAAAAGAATATCTATGTTGAATAAAAAACTAATAAGAGTTAAGGTGCATTCAGCACCCGAAGTATTTTCTCATGTGTATCCAATACCCAAAAAAAAATTTCAGGGTACTGACGCACCTAAAAAATATTTTGGGGTGTCAGATATACCAAAAAATAATTAAAAATGTTATATGCATCACAAAATATTTTAATCTGAAAAAATATTTTAAGATATTAAATGCATTTGAATCCAACTAATAATTATAACGACTGACTTGCTCATCAGAGCCACGGTATGTATAACAATAAGAAAAAGTACAAAGTTCTTCTTTCCAATGAACCAAATGCAGCATTCATCAAGATATATATCCGAACAATTATGGATCCACAATTGCGTGCTAAAATGAAAGAATGTGAAAGAACTTTTGAGGAGTGAGAAACCCACGTGGGAATTCCAAGTGGCATGGTTGGGATGGGACCACTGATGTGTTGTGATGGGCTGGTGTTGTTACGTATCATCTCATCACTGTTCGAAAGCTCCTTCCTGCTCGTCATCTTTCAAAACTTAAAATCTACTCTTTAGCTTTTATATCATAAAATTGACTACATTTTTCCAAGTCAGATATGGGAATACCATACATTTTACGAGAGCCAGTTTTAGACATAGAGTATGAATATGTGTTTGGGTAGGCTGTAAAAATACTCATTAAGACATTGTACGAAGAGCCGCCGTTCCCATTATAGATTTAATTAGTATGGCGTAATAGTTTTATTTATCAATTGTTAAAACAGTGAAAAAATCTCTAACTCTCAATGGTGATACGATGTCCGTTGAGTAAATGATATTGTTCGCACATGTTACCTCTGATTCTAATTATAAGATCTTGTTTATAGACTACAACTAAAGTCTTATAATTAGGACCGTGGAGGTAGTGTTATGCTAATTATAAATGGATTAGAGACAGAGATATTGATAAAATATTATATTATCAAATTTTGATCCTGAAAATACACGTTTTCAAATTTTGTGTAGTGTGATTCTTCTGACCAGCGATGAAATAACGTGATTCATATAATTATTTATTGTGTAATACTAATAAACGAAACTAAAAAGAAATCATACATGAAATGCATTTGTTTCATTTTTATTTTCGTATTTATTGTTTTGGCCGGCGGCAAACTCCATTTTATTTTCTCCAGCACCTGAACCATACGGGTCACTTTCTTTTCTTTTCCTTTTGGTTGAGTTGTCAATTGGAGATTACCATGATAAAACATGTTGGCCGCGGCCGGAGAAAGAAAACAAATATATAGACAAATTGTAGACCAGCATCCAATAAATCTTTTCATTACTAATAAAAAAAATAAAGGACATCATTTTCAAACCTTTTATTTTTCCAAAAAAAAATAGTGATCAGAAAAATGTTTATGTTAGTTAGGCTTTAGGAGCTTCTAAAATGATAGACAAGCTTCAAAACTCAAAAAAAAAAAAAAAAGAGAGAGAGAAGAAGAAGCTAGTTATAGATTATTTATCATCATTAAGATTCTCACATAACCTAATGGAATATTTGAAGCTCACGTAGTTATAATATTAAATCAAATTAATAGTTGCAACTTGCAACGAAGTGAACGAAGCAGAGTTTTGAAGAGCGCACCTTAATTATAATGCGCCTACAAATGCCGGGAATATGTTTCCTAGCCGCAACAAACAAAGTGGATTCCTAGGTTGTCCTCCCACTTTTAGCACAAACCAATTCTTTTTGCATTTCTTCATATTTAATATTTTTTTAAGGTTCAATCTTATCCCTTTACTAATCTTCACTTTGATGCAAACCCTACTTTTGTTGCCAATTAAGGGTTTGCGTTTCTTCTATGCAACTCTTAATTTCTCCCATATATCATCATACTCTCTTATCATTAATCATTAATTATTATGAAATTAAACCACGCAAGTTCACCACTTGGCACATGAATTTGTGGTCCCCGCTTAGACACTGGTATTTGTCACTAGTTACCAACCTTAACACACATCTTATTATTTTCCATGTTATTATTAGCTATCACAATTTCCGTTGTTTTCGAACCAACAAATTGGCCAACCTTGATTCCTTGGCGCTTCAGACCTGAAATTGAATTGATATGATCAGGTATGGGTCCTGCTTATCGGGAAATTGTTCATAACACAAACAAACTGAGGAAGATAATTATGCAGGAATGATATGACTGCAATAGCGTTCATGTTGAAATACAGCCTTTTTTTTTTTTTGGTCTGTGTGGGGTTTGAATTGAGTCATTATACCCAATTTTTAATTTTTGGTTGCCTAACGCTGCAATAATAAATAGTCTAGGAGAAGGCATATTATTAATCAATTATGACAGGGCTCGTCTTTCAAACCCCATATAACATATATTGTGTTCGTATTAATTTATTTTACTGGTGATTTAAGTATTTAGGACATTAAGTTTGGGGAACCAATCATGAGAAATGAGTGGCAACCTAGTTGATACATAAAATATCGGAGGTGCAGGAGGCTAATATATATAGGGGTATGTGTGTGTGTGTGTGTGTGTCTTTAACTACATGTTAGTGTCAAATTATATCACGGCTTACGTCATTCAACGAAGTTGCTGGCTTTAATGTCTTTATATTGTTACGAGGGCAGTGCGCCAATTCAACTTTTCCTTTGTCTGTTCATGGCCCCCTGTCATTTTTGTTAGACCTTTCTAAAAAAAAATAAAAAATAAAATGTTTAGAACCTTTTACCTCTGTAGCAGTATTAGGTGGTTAGCAAATATTTCAGATCCAATCATTCTTTTCTTGCATATTGATAAATTTGATAGTTATATACTCGTAATAATAAATCGAAGCTGACCTGCTCGCGGTGAACCTGATGGTCTAAGGGGGTGTTTGGCAATCTCCAAAATATGGTTTTAGAAGCACTTTTCAGCAAAACGAGGCAAATTCTTCCACATATTTACTTCGTAAACCGTAAAAGCACTTCTGAAACCATGGTTTGGTTTCTATCCAAACACCCCATAAATCCATAATAAAAGGAAGAAGACAGGAGAAGCCACCTTTTTCTTAAAAAAAAAAAAACACAGATATTTTCTCATAAGGGCCAATCCTGTCGGAGAAACTGCTATTTTTGTTGGCCGTGTCGTCGTCAGCTTTTTCATTTGGGTTGTTTCGGGGCATTACTTTTTTGTGTGTTGATATTTGGGCCTATGCAAGTCTACATAAGCAAATGGACATTATTCTTGGACGCCTTTTGTTTTATTTAGACCCAATTACATGCACAAAAACATTCTCCGGACTGCAAACTTAGCGGCCTCAACAGTGACAACTTTAATCTTCTTGACAATAACGAACCCATTCGACCGGAAGGCAAAAAATGAACCAATTGGGCCCAAAACTTGATTCAAGTCCATGACACTATGGATTCACTTAACTCACCTGCTTCTGCAGAATAGGCCCAGTTAAGGGACCATATATGAATTTTGGATCAACAGTCCCCAGCAAATCTCTATCCCCCAAATAAAAAAAAAAAGAAAACGTGGACAACCCCCAATAGGCTTTTAGAGGATTAGAGTTGGATATTTATTAAAGAAAATATTAGATAAACAATAATATTATTTATTTATTTCATGAAATTTCTCATAAAAATTTCGATTGAAAATATATGAAGGACTAAGTAAGATTTCCATAAAGTCATAAAAAGCCTTTTATGTTTTTTTTATTTGATCAGGGTTTTTCCTTTCAAATCTTAAAGTGCAGGTGGTTTTTGTCTCTCTCAACAAATATATTTATTGAGATTCAAACTTATGTTTCTCTTCTTATAAAGATGATGTTGCTTACCACTTCAACTAAACTAACAACTTGTTTGTAAGCCTTTTATGTTTTCAATGAGAGCAAAGTGCACTTTTGTTCATTAAAAATCTCATTGAATTTTAATTTGATACTCATTATTTAGGAACTTATAATTTATAAAAAAAGGGTTTTCAAACAATAGGTAAGCCTTTGTAGCTATTCAATAACAACCCAGCAAGGACGTTATTTTTACGAAAAATAAATAAAAAATGTAAGTTTATTACATTTTAAATTAATTAAAACTATATAACCATAATAGACTACTTATTAAATCAGCTCAAATAGAATAGAAAAATAGATCTGAATTTATAATAAAATTATATTATAGTTATGATAATTCAAAGTATTTTCCGTGAAGAGACCCAGTTTCGTGGAGAATAAAGAATATCAGTAACGTGAAGAATTTTGCTTCTGCTCCCCGCAAATAAATACAACCAATATTTTGGCAAAATAGACACTATAATACAAAGAAAAACAATCAAGATGAAACCCTCACTTCCACGTGCTGACGTGGAAGAAGCGAAGGGAAAATCTCACGAGTCCCGATACAAGAGACATCGGGGGTTTTGGAGATAAGATACTTTACGTGAGTTCTTTTTTGTTTTTGGACCATCCATTTTAGGTGGTCGTAAATCGTAATAATAAAAGACGTTTTCAATGTTAGAGCCAGCATGGCGGCGAATACCAAGACAACACGTGGACTGTTACGCGGCGTGCAAATTTGATTTTGGGGTATTTTTGTGCAGAATCGAAAATGGACACGAAATGACCCCTTGACCCTTTCTATGGGTTTCTGTTATTTTTTAAAACGTGCTCAGAACGGCGGGACCGTTTTATCCCTGTTCTTACCCTTCCTCACCTCTGATGTTCGAACCCCTACGCCCCTACGTGGAAGAATTAGGAGGGCATTGGAGTAATTCTGACACACCCAAGAGTTCGATGTATCACGTGCAGGGACACTGACGTAATTACAGTTGTTTCGTATTCAAGATTTCATCACCTCCGGAAGCAACTGTCTCCCTCCTGCGAACTTTCCCTTCCTCAGCTTATAAATCCGCGTTTTGATCTTTCTTGCTCCATTCTATTCTCGGACACCTCTGCTCTCTCATTCAAACCGCTCGATCTGATTCTCCTCAAACTGTAAGTAAACGAATTTGCCATATTTTTTCCATTATATTGGCTTAGTGATCAGTTTAGACTTTGGATCTTCTAGCTTTATTAATTTATTCTCCCTATATATTATTACCCAATTTTCTTTCATACACCCTAATCTTTTCTAGCTCTGTGAAGATCAACAGAGTCGTACAAAATAAATACTGTTTTTTTTTTTTTTAAAAGTCAAGTGATTTCTTTATCTGGGCTGTGGTTATTTGGTTGGGCAAATGACTACTGGTAGCCATATTGGGATCTCTACCATGAAGCCTTGTTGTAAAATCCTAAGTAGCTGTAAAAGTTCGTCTCTTTTTGGGTTTTCTCCAACCAAGTTTAATGACTCAATCATGGACATCTTGTCCAAATCATATCCCAAATCCGTGCATCGGCACAGATACCATACCTGTAATACTCAAATTGTAAGGTGTATTCATTTAATCAATCTGAATCGGAGAGATTTTAGCATTTCCGGTTCAAATTGGGGTCACTCTAGAATTTTTAGTAATAGTTGTGTTAATATAGGCAGTTGTAGGGGCATTTCATTGATACCGAATGCAGTCTCGGATTTTAGAAACCATTCTACATCGGTTGATTCTCAGGTTAGTGACCCAAGCTTTGAGAAGATTTATATTCAAAGAGGATTAAATGTGAAGCCCTTGGTGTTTGAAAGAATTGAAACTGGTCAAAGTATATTGGAAGAAGTCCCCGAAGATAGAACTAATGAGTCAAATGTGAATATAGATAATTTGAAGGGTTTGAATGAGGGTAAGGTTGAGAGGGAGGTGTCTGAGATTGAAAAGGAAGCTTGGAAGCTGCTTCGAGGTGCTGTTGTCACTTATTGTGGGAATCCAGTTGGGACTGTTGCAGCTAATGATCCTACGGACAAACAGCCATTGAATTATGATCAAATCTTTATCCGTGATTTTGTTCCATCAGCACTTGCCTTTTTGCTCAATGGCGAAGGAGAGATTGTCAAGAATTTTCTACTTCACACACTGCAATTGCAGGTAAATAATGGTCTTCATGGCTTTTGTTAGTTTGTCATTCTTTGCTTTATTTGCGATTACAAAATGGTTTTGCTTGTTGAATGTGTAAATTCTTTTATCGCACACTTGAAAATTAACATTCCTCCTCAGACCTGTTAAGAAAATGTGCTTTGGTGGTTACTGCTCATTATAACCTTGTCTGACTTTGTAGTTTTGAAGACTTCTTGTAGATGATGCATTACATTTGTTTCCACATAATAAATAACTTACAATCTTTCCCATTTAGAATTTGGGTGGTTTAATGGGTATTGTAGATCCTGTGTGGGTGGAAGAATGGTAATACTTGATAACTTTACATGACTTTTTTTTTTTTTGGTTCTTTTATCATTCTAATTTGTCCTGAATCATTAATCTGTACCTGAGCTTTCTACGCTTTTCTCACTGAGTGTTCATTTATACATCATTTCATCGTATTTCAATATTTAGATTAAATGTCCGCTTGACTGAGATTTGTTGCTTCCCTCGCATAAGAATCTTGTCCAAAGAGGAATAGGTGAATAGTAAATTGTTCTTGATACTATTTGGAGTGTTCTCAAGGAAGAATGTTGAATAAGCCTCCATTATACTTTTATACATGGTTCTTGATATTTCTCCTCTTTTAACATTTAATTCAATTGAGACGTTTACATTCACTAGAGTTGGGAGAAGACTGTTGACTGTTACAGCCCAGGGCAAGGGCTGATGCCAGCAAGCTTTAAAGTTGGAACTGTGTCTCTTGATGGAAGCAATGAAGCATTTGAGGAGGTTTTGGATCCTGATTTTGGTGAATCAGCTATTGGCCGTGTAGCACCTGTTGATTCTGGTGAGTTGTTTATTTGTGAAAGAAAGACATCAAGATTTTGTTAGTGAAAAGTCGCTGTGATATCATTTAAAACAAAAACAACAAGACTATGGGTCTTGTGCTTTGTTGACAGTTTGAAGTAAACACTATTCATGACTTATGGCTGGTGCGGTTTCCTAAAAACTTTGGATTGTATATGGATACGTTGATGTATTGGTTGTCCTTTTTTCAAGTTTAACAATATTATCCTCTCATCTGTCAAGATTTCACCTGCATGTCACTTATTCGTATCACATTCCATCATAGATTCAAAATTTTAGGCTTATATTTAACACTTTTCTGACAGGATTATGGTGGATCATTTTGTTAAGAGCTTATGGGAAACTCACTGGCGATTATGCATTGCAAGAAAGAGTGGATATCCAAACTGGCATGAAACTGATTCTTAAGCAGTGTCTGACCGATGGATTTGACATGTTTCCTACTTTATTAGTCACCGATGGTTCCTGCATGATTGATAGACGGATGGGTATTCATGGTCATCCTCTTGAGATCCAAGTAAGCTAATCAAGCTGTGATGCACAGCATTATAGAAGTAGGGATTGGCATTTATTATGTTCATTAGTAGATTGGTACTAAATGTGGTATTCTCGGAATATCATTCGTTCTTTTTCCTTTGTGGATTTCCTTGAACAAGTTTCAATCCTGCAACTGTAGCAAAATGTATTTTCTGCTATTGCATGAAACACTAAAATGATAAATTATCGTTTAACTTTTCTACCTCTGTTGAAATGGTCTTCCCTGGGATTTCAATGGCTGTGCATGGCATCCTATTCATAGAACCAGTATTTAATTTGATCTGGGTTAGTCCTGGCACGTTTGATTGTCTTCCTGAACCCTCTCACATGTCTAATTGTTGAACTTCTGTTTTTGCTGTCTGAATTCTCTTATCTGCTTTAGAAGGTATATGAGTCGGAAAATTGATCAAGGTATGTTGAGTAGGCATGTCCCTTGTCATGGGATTTTCATAGTTTTTTGCAATATTTCTCTGGAACAGATTGAGAATAATAACTCAGTTGAGTGACCTTACATATCATGGGATTCTTATTGCTCAACATCTGTCATCTTTGACTGGAACCTCACTTTATCCCGTGTTTCCCTTTTTTGCATATTTGATCCTGTTTGTCCATATGCATGCCTATTGTTTATAACTTTGTCCTTGTTTGGTCTTGAATTCAATCTTGCAGGCATTATTTTATTCAGCCTTGCGCTGCTCACGCGAGATGCTGATTGTCAGTGATGCAACCAAGAGTCTGGTAGCTGCCATTAATAATCGCCTAAGTGCTCTCTCTTTTCACATGAGAGAATATTATTGGGTTGATATAAAGAAGATTAATGAAATATATCGTTACAAGACAGAAGAGTATTCTGACGATGCTGTTAACAAGTTTAACATCTATCCGGAGCAAATTCCTCCTTGGCTGGTTGACTGGATCTCTGAGGAAGGTGGATACTTCATTGGCAATTTACAACCCGCTCACATGGACTTCAGGTTTTTTACACTTGGAAATCTTTGGACCATCATTTCTTCTCTAGGCACAACCAAACAGAATAGGGGCGTTTTGAATTTAATAGAGGCAAAATGGGATGATCTTGTTGCTCAAATGCCTCTTAAGATATGCTATCCTGCCCTGGAGAGTGATGAATGGCGCATAATCACTGGCAGTGACCCCAAGAACACGTAAGGTTCTTTTATAAAACCCCCCCCCCCCCAAAAAAAAAAAAAAACCCAACACACACCCCCCACCCACAACTTGTCATTTTGCCATAATTTTGTGTTTGGCAAGTGCCCTCCCTGGCGTTAGTTCCGCTATGTTAACTTTCAGTTACTGTTTGCAGCCCGTGGTCATATCACAATGGAGGATCATGGCCAACACTTCTCTGGCTGGTAAGTTTGATATTTAATCCTATCTTTGAGATTTATTTTATGGCAAGTACTCTCAAGTCTCGAGCACTCCAATTACTGAGAAGAGCAATTGGGAGCCTATTACTTTCAGTACTTCCTTTGCTGGAGCCTGAAAAATGAGGCAACCTAGGATGCCCCTTTTCTAATAGATTTCCTGTTCTTTAACTGTTCATTGGATGAATTTTTTGGTGAATTGAAACTTTATGAATCTTCCCGACATTAGTAAGCCATGACCTAACCGATTATCAATTATCAATCAGTTCACTTTGGCCTGCATCAAGATGGGACGTCCTGATTTGGCACAGAAGGCCGTTGATGTGGCAGAGAAAAGACTTCCTGTGGATGGGTGGCCAGAGTATTATGATACTCGAAATGGAAAGTTTATAGGGAAGCAGTCCCGGCTCATGCAAACCTGGACTGTTGCTGGTTTGCTGACCTCGAAGATGCTTTTGGAGAATCCAGAGAAGGCATCCTTACTGTTCTGGGAGGAGGATTTTGAGATCCTTCAGTCCTGTGTCTGCATGCTCAAAAAGAGTGGGAGAAGGAAGTGTTCCCGTTTTGCTTCAAGGTCTCAGTCTGCTGTCTAAGGGGAAGCAGCACCTGCTCTACCCTGCATATTTACCTCTTTCTTCGGGCTGTCTGGTGGCACCAATGGCCAACCCTCTGATTAAAATAATTCATTTATTTAGGTTAGAGTTCACAACTTAACGCCAAAACTTCTCCATTTATTATGACGATCATACAATTAATCTAAGCCGTTTGTCTTGTTATTTGATGACAACGGCTAGCTTTTATGTAGTCACGTTGTATCATTAGTTATGCAGACAAAATTCCGCCCAGACGCTCATGACTGGTTGATTATAGTTGACTTGTTAAACGTTATCTTCCATCACGGCCTTGGTCGTGTCAGATGCGATGATAATCCGTGTAGTTTTTTTATGTGCCTACTAATTTTTTTGTTGTCGGAATATCTCGATCTGAAAAACCATGTATTACCATTAAGGGGGAGTTTGAATACCCTAGAATTAGAATCAGTTAAAAAGAAAAAAAAAAAAAAAAGCAGACAAAATTCTTCTCATATGTGAGAAGACGCCGAGAGAAATGAGTTTGAAATGTGATGATGTGTAAGTGGAGTGGATTGCTCGGGATTTTCATTTGTGAATGGAACTTTAAACAACATAACTGTCTACTGCTAACAGGCTACAAGCCAATGAGCCATGGACACAATCATTCTGACCACAAGGTGGACTGACCCACATCCTAGGAATAAAAGTGAAAAAGGAAAGAAAAAAGCCTAAGAAACACTTGAGCTGGATAGATACTATCTATGAAGGAAACAAGCATTTTTTTTTTTTTTCACATGACGCCATTACTACAGTACAAAAGGGCGATTAGTATTAGCACTGTGAACTCTCAGACGCTGTTCTGCTTGAAAAGGCGAATACGACTGTCTCCAAGCCTGAGAGAGTAGGTGGCTCTCTTGTACTCGGCCCAAGTGAATGGCCGGTAAAGAGATGGCGTGTTAGGCGGAACCATAACTGGCGGAGCAACGATCCAGGCATTCAAGGACGGAGCCGCAAAATATGCCATTGACAGTCTTGACTTGTGCGAGTTTGTCATTGCCCTGTGCCTCACGCTCTGAAATCTTCCATTCGTCATTACCTGCACAAATCACAATCACAAGTCACGCTTGTATCCATATCTCTTACACTATATACTCCAACCATAACTTGTTATAGCCCATCAACACGCAGTTAACCATTTTTGCTTTTTTTTTTTTTTTTTTTGGGTCAGTGCTTTGTCTAATCGATGTTGATGATGAGCTTACAGAATTCAGTCAAAAAGCTGAAGTAACAGTGGGAGATTCTCAGGTTATTTCACAAGTGCAGTTATGATACGAGAGATTCTGGGATGCGCGGGAACAGATATAGAGCCCCACCAGCATGGATGAGAAATAAAAGTGAAAAAAAGAGACATCACAGGAGGAAGAAGGAACAGGGACATACCTGCAATGCATCACCTACATTAACACAGAAGGCAGAGGGGTCTGGGGGGACGGGGACCCACACGCCATCTTGAGGAGAGATCTGGAGGCCGCCAACATCGTTGGATGTGAGGATAGTGAGGATCTGAGGGTCAGAATGCTCTCCAAAGCCAACCTTGCAAGAAGGAGATTGGGATGACATGTCCCTTTCCTTGCAGGGAGGGTAGTGATTGAGCCTCAGCACTGAGTCGCTATCATCGTCCCTGATCATTCTGCTGAACACCCTTGCATCCGCGGTCCCCAATCCCTCTGCCATCACTTCCAATATTTCACATGCCAGCTTCTTCACTGCCTCTGTGTATTCCCTCACTGTTGACCTGTCATGTTCCCATCCACACTTGTCACTCTGCTTCCGTCGCATCCATATTTCTCATCATCATAAACACACAGGGACCCGGGGGGGGGGGGAAGAAAACAGCTTTCCATTCATTCATAACCGAAGAAAACACTTTACTCATCGTCTAGTTTTGGTGAAAGAGTGTGTGCCAGAAGAGCAGCTCATGAGCTGCTCTTCCTTCTTTCCTTAATTGGGATGCATATGTGGGTAAAAATTTGATATGATTGGACGTTTTTGATGCGTCTCTCACTCTGAGATGTCATTCTGACACGCCAAACTTCATTCCATAGAGTATTGCTGCTGAGTACTGACATTCATCTCAGGTTTCCTCTGTATATAATTATGTGTTCTTTATTTTCCTAAATTAATTAAAGAGAAAATTTAAAAAAAAACTGCTGAAATAGAAAAATTACAGATCAGGGATCTATGATAACATTAGTATAATTTTTAATAATTTTGACAATAATTTTTATGATGTCTAATTTTTTTTTTATTTTGGCAATCTTTTCTTGCAGTTCTCTCTTAATTAAAAGCAGAGGCATTGTGAGTAATTGACATGACGGGAACGTCATTCAAGGACTCACGGAGCAGCAAAAGAGGAGAGGTAACCGCCCAAGTGTGTGCGCCTGACATGTACCATCTTATCTCCTTCGACATCCTCCTCCTTCCCATACTCTCCCATTCCCATATGTGCGAATACGACCTCAGTGCTTTTGATATGTGGGGGAAGCTTCCCACGCCATACTTCGCATTGATCTTCACATACATTTCGTATAAATTAAAGTTATGTATAGTGTATTAAAAATGACATGTTTTCAGGATCACTTTTCTTTTAGGCTCTAGACTAGATTCTAAACCATCCTAAATTGTTATCCAAACATTAACGTACGTTTCTCTAAAAAAAAATATATATATCTAGCTAACAACTTGCACATAAAAAAGTTATGACAGCTCTCAACCTTTCACAGGTTTGCCTTACTTCGTGCTCATCAGGTAATTTTTAATTATTTATCTTCGTAGGGGGCGAAAATGTGGCCTTCAAAGAAGAATGCCCTCTAATTAGCGAGTTTTTTAGTTTTTTTTTTTCCCCAGCACTAGAAACATGGTATGGAAAAAGAAAGGATGGAAGAACAGGAAGCAGGAGCTCATCAGGAGAGACATAAACATGAAACCTAATTTGCGAGTCTCTCTTACTGTTCAATAGCCCTAATATGACAGAAAGTTGTAGCTGGAATAAGAAACATCTAATGGGGAAAGCGCAAATGGACCACGTAAGTACTAGCAAAGAGTCTTTTAAAGAACAGTTGGCAAGATAATAAGAACGCTCGTAATTTTCTCTCTCCGTTCTCTGTTGGTCGGATACAACTCATTATATTGGAAGCAAGTTCCAAACAGCAAGTCATAATTATTCATTGAACTCAGATATATACTCGCCGGGTAAGCTGGCAAGAACTTACTAGGTAGCATGGTCCATGTCAAAAACACACCCATTATATTAGTGTTTTCATGACGCCCTTGTCACTCCCCAACTGTCACTTTCTCTTCTTCTGCCATATACACCATCTCTCGCCCATTGTTTGCCTACGCCATATATATTCTCAGAAAATAATATATCCAGCATATAAATTGCCAGAGCCAGGTTGTTCATCTCATCCCCCCCCTGTGGGGCTAAGAATTCTTCTTCAACTTAAACACAGGAGGTTAGGCTAACCATGAAATGAATGCGAAAGTTTAGGAAAATGACAGATAGCTACGGCTAAGTAGCATCTGAATTATAGAATTCATACATCAGTTGACAGTACTATAAATGAGATCTTATAATTAGGACCAGAGATAGTATATAATTATGAGCTTTTAGAACATGATATTATAGGATCACATGCTGTTTTTTCCCCCCATCTCGGAGAAGCAGATTGATAGCAAAGAGAGGATACGTACGTACCTGAAGTCGGAAGGGTCATTGGAGATGTGGAGGGACATTTGAGAAATGGAAGGAGGGCTGGCATTAAGAAGAAGGTACTCCACCTCTCCCATGTCTCCATTGAGGCCTATGTTCTTGCAGCCATAACCGAAAGGACTAGCTGGCGTAGCTTGCTTCTTTTGAGCCACCGGTTTCGCAAAGAAGCCAAGTCCTAATTGTTCCAGTTTGGCTATAGTTTCTGGAGGGACGCCATGGTTTATCACCTTGAAGAAACCAAACTCCTCACAGGCTTTCACTATGAGCTGTGACGCCACTGACCTTTCAGCCGAAAGGTCCACCATTGGAAGATCAATGCTCACAATCTTCTCATTCCGAATAGAGTGCGGAGAAGCTACCACCATATCTATATGTGTGTGTGTGTATATATTGAATTTGCAATATATATGTAGCCTGCAGAATGAAAAGAAACGGGAAAATTCAGGTGGAATCTCACTTCTCAAACTTGCTAAGGAGAGTAGTATGTGGGGTTAGTAGCATGGCTGAGAAGAGAGAAGGCCAGTGCTCCTCAGCACAGAACGGCTGATAGGGAGTTGTGCACCAGTAATGGGATATTTATGCAGCGCGAAAGAGAGAAACCATGGAGCGTGAAAGATTAAACTCATAAAATAAAATACTTTCCGGGGGCCAAAAAAGAGATACTATTATATTGAATTTATTTTCCCTTGTTTTATGGGGATTGAGGAGCAACGTACTTTAAAATGAAGTACAACTAGCAAAATTTTCGTGCTACAACGTTGACCTTCTCCACTCTTTGTTGACTCATAGCTTTCCACTTTAATTACCTGTCTGCGACTGTTTTGACATAAATCTTCCTTTTGATTACCTTTACAACCATTATTTTGACTTCAACGTCTTCCGCCTGCTTTCACGTGCTGGGAATTAAAGGTGGCAAATTAAATACCAAAAAGATATTCGCGTAATACAGGTGCTTTTGAACTTAAACACCGAAGACATACTCTCTTGCTTATGCACCAATCTAATATGGTTTCTATTTATAGCCCTAACCCCTTTGTTGTAGTTCATATTTGATTTGATCTCTGTACGTACCTTTGAAAATTCAGCCTTTTATATTTGAACATTTTCCTTTATGCGGGCGGCTTCCTTGTTCCCACAAAACTGACATCTGAGGTCCAAGCTTTGCTGGTTATGGTCACCCATATCCCCAGGCCAGCGTTCCAATCCCACACGTATCAATTGAACTCAAGGGGTCAAGGCCATATGACAGCAATTAGCGATTCGTTTATAGTATCTTGTACAAATTAAATTAGCAACCTGATTATCGGAAGCACCGAGCGTATATAGTTTGTATATTTTCATAAAAGAGGTTTTATCTTATCAATGACGACGTTTAGTGCTGCTTTCCTTGAATCCAATATCACCTTCCCCAGTCTCATAAAAGACTGGTCTACACCTCATTTTCTGGGTTTCTCAAAATTGCAGGAGGTTGATATGTACAAGTGTGCCACAATTAATTACTTGGGATGTTGGTAATATCCAGACGTTCGCATTAATTTAGAAGCTCCTGCCTTTACAGTGGGCGAAATCGGCAAATGCATGTGAAGGAGTGCAATGAAACAAAGTGATAGTGAAATATGATGAGGAGTTAGGCCCCATTTGGTGTGTGCAAGACTGTCAAAGCCATTAGTTAATTGACGAAGTGGCTTCTGATATGAATCTCAACACTTTCTGAGGTTAGCCCAAACAAACACAATGATACGGAAGCTTCACGCTAGCGTTCTTATTCACCATGTACTATTTACTAGTATTTCGTATATGTAGTTTGGTGCACAGTTAGGTTTCTTGAAGGCAGCAATTATTGACCACTTTTGGATTTAAAATACTCTGCCACTGCAGGATTGCCCCCCGTGTGTGTGTGTGTAATATAAATATCCATTAAGTGATTAACATTATTAACTAGCTAGGAACACCTAACTTGTTCCTACGAGGCAAGTACTACATTAGACATATAGTCACCTCCCTTTTTAATTTTTTTTGACAAAGAGGTTAGAATGTAGGTTTGCTTCCCTAGCGTTTCTTTTCCGTACTATTTAATTTTGCTATATTAGTTGGATCACAGTTAGGTTTCTTGAAGGCAGCAATTATTGACCACTTTGGATTTAAAATACTCTGCCACTGCAGGATTGCCCCCCGTGTGTGTGTGTGTAATATAAATATCCATTAAGTGATTAACATTATTAACTAGCTAGGAACACCTAACTTGTTCCTACGAGGCAAGTACTACATTAGACATATAGTCACCTCCCTTTTTAATTTTTTTTGACTATTAATAGAGAAGTAGGTTTGCATTTTCCCATGCAGTTTGCTGTTTCCTGAGTCCGTGTTTTTTTTAATGCCGAAAGCTATTAATTGTTGCATCAGCAGTGGTGGATAGTTCAGACCGGAGAGAAACTTCGTCCCTAGCTTCCTAGCCCTTATGAAAGGAGACTTCCATTTGATCTTAGTGGTTAGTGGGTCCAACGTGCTCCCAATCGACACCCGGCCGCCTGTTTCTATCTGTTACTATTTATTTTATGAGGACAGCGTATACTATTGTTCCATTGACATTAATTGTTCTTAGAAGATTGATAAAGTATGAGTGCATATCTAGCTTGACTTGCATGGATGTTCATTCATTATTTAATGCTGTGGGATCGAATACCCAAAAATAACACGACTGATACCTGCAAATCTGTCACTAAATAGTGTCACTTGCATGGATGTTCATTCATTATTTAAAGTCACGTTGTTCATTGGATTCATTAATCACATACAGCACTAATCCCTGCAAATTAAATCTATGGATCAGCAGTATAATCTGTATTTATATAAATTAATGAGAAAGAAGATATAGTATATAGTATGAGTACTTGATTCAAAGAGTAGGGTTGGCATTCGAAGGTCAACGGCAGCAGGGATGGTGTGAATTATGATGTTATATTTGTTTGAGTAACAGGTGAGGATCCAGATTCCCCATCAATAATACACACTGCCCTATCTCCCTCCCCCTGAATTATTACCACATATAATCGCCTTTTGTACATGTATATTGAGCCCCACCTCCACTTTTGTTATTTTTTTTCCCCTCCCTGAGATGTTATAAATTCAGTTTATGTCATATCCTATTAGGACTAGATTGGACTTTTCTCAGATTTTATTGTTATTAATAAAATAAACCTTCTCTTTTTTCCATTATGTATAATAATAATTATTATCACACAATAAAATTATTTGACTAATAGTATATATCATATTTGAAATAAAACTTTTAATTTCATCTCATATAAGTTAGCACCTCATCTTCGCTGACCGGATTATTTTACTATGTCTGAGAAGATTACAAGTTAGTGCATATGTTCGGTGAAAAAAAAAAAAAAATTGGTGCTTGAGTTAATCTTTTTGAGGGCGAATATTTTTTTTCCTGGATAAAAACAACTATCATTAAATTAAACAATAACTAGACCGCTACGATGAAATCTGGTGGTAACAGACATAAATTCAACCACAATGAAATCAAAATGACGAAAATATAAATTAGCCCACTCGTACAGATAAGACTCTGTCATCAGCAGCCGTGTTCAACAATTTCAAAAGATGAGGTGATGCGTAAAAAGACTCAATTAGAAGGGCACATCTCATTAAGAGTAGTTTTGACAAGCCAGTCAGCAATTAAGTTTCCTTCACTAAATTAAAGAAAGCTTTTTTACCAAAAAAACATACACGCGCATGCGCGATCACATCGACATGTTGAAGAATTCAAGAATAGCTTTTGACATATATAAATGTGGCGTCGAGTGTGATTTTTTGGCCAGCTAGTGTCAATTTTAATTTACTAACCACATTAGATTTTTATTTTTATTCAAGAATTCTATATTTGTTGGGGTCTTTCTTTTTTTTAACCAAATAAATGCCCTAGCTGTGCATGTCACTCCAAAATTACAAAAAGGCAAGAAATATTATTAGAACAAGAAAAGAATGATGAAATTAGATACTCCTCCGGTCCTTAATATAGGACCTAATTTTTGAATTGGTTTGATCCTAAATATAAGACTCATTTCTCATATTTATCAATTTTCTCTAAATTACCCTATATAGATACTCCCTCAATCATAATCAAGTAGAAGAGGGAGAGGGGGTATTAAGAAGATGATTATGGTATTTTAGGAAAAATGTGTCACTTTTTTTATAACTAACTAACTTACCTAACTTCCTTAATCTAATCAAATTAGTTAAATGGGTCTTATTAAAGATCGGGGAGTATATAAATTAAACAAGGGAAAAGCAGGCAGTGTCTGTCTCTTTTTGTTCTAATTCTTATTCTGCCTTAATCCCCATTCTTCGCCAGAAGATGCCCCAGGATTGGTCGGTTTAGGTACCCGCCACTTTATTTCTGCTCTTCAAGAGACTACTCGGATCAATCATGTTTCTTTATCACTTATGCTTTTTAGGGCCCATTTTATGCCTTTTCTCTTCCTTTATGTTCTTCATGTGGCTTTGGTTAGCTCATAATTCTGTCTTTCTGAGTTGGTCGTGGCCTCACCAATCAATATTCCTTAAAGTTCCATTATTTCCTCTGTTTTCATTCTTCTTCCCCCACCCCTCTCTCTCAATATATACATATGTGTGTGTGTGTGTGACATCAAATACGCGCGCCACGTTTCAAACAAAAATAAAAGAATAAAATATATAATTTATTGAAAATAGTCGTTGGAATATGGGGGATTTTGCCTGATAAATTTATTATTTTTGTATGAAAATTATCATTAATATTCAAGTGCACCTTCTTCTCTTTTACTTGAAATGTGACATATATATATGTAGAGAGAGAGAGAGATGGATGATACATATATTAAAACAATTACACCAACCATTTTTGAACTGCTAATTATGTTGATTTGTGCGGCATAGATAGTAATTAAAGTACACGATGATCTTTAAAAAGTCAATACGAAGCAACGTTGTGTTTAGGAAAAATGACATTAAGGTCCCACAGAAGAGAAAATACTGCAAAAAAGTCCCTTCAAATCTAATAACTACTTAGGAGTCCCAAAGGGACTTGGTTGCAATAAGACAAATCATAAAAAGACTATGCTGTCCCTGCTGAAATGGAATCTGATTTTGAACCCTATTTCTATTTACACATTGCTATCTTACTTTCCTCTCAAAAACTAACGCTAAATCAACCCTCATTAGAAGCAATGAACCTCAAATCTGTTTACCTTCGCCATAATCATTGAAGATCATCCAGGTATAGGGCATTATTGAAGCTGTTTATGGTCGAAACAAAGCTGTTGTTGTCAGCATCTCTGTGTTCATCCGTGTTCTTCATTTATGGCAATGTATTCTTTTCGTTTCTTTGCAAATTTTTTTGAGTTCAAAATATTACACTAAGACCTTTAGGTTGGTGATTTGAGTTGGGGTTTCATTGTGGGTGGGTAGGATGATGATGGGTGCTCTATTTTTGATGACATTGTGGGTGGT